AGCAGGAAGTGCAGCGCGGTAGCGAGTGTCACTAGTGCGGAGGTGCGTAATGAGGTCAGCAACGGTGGGAAAAGAAGCAAGGTCAGGGAAGAGGTACGGCAGCATGAGACGGCTCAGTGCAGCAGTGGAAGGGGAGGAGTAGCGCGCGACTACAGCGGCGTACAAGGTCTGAGCACTCTTGTACTGACTAAAGTGCGCACGCTCGGAGGTAGGGAGGTGGCGACGCACAGCAAGACGTGCAGCAGCATCGCGCGTGGCCCACTGGGAGCGAACAGTGGCGTCAGCATCAGCAGCAGGGGCAGGGGAAGCGCCAGAGGTGAGGTCAAAGAGAGAGAGGCCGTCCGCCCTATCGCACTGTAAGAACAGCTGTAGGTCATCTACCCAGACCTCAAAGTCAATGGCCCGACCCTCAGCGTCAAAAGTGAGGACACTAGGGGTAGCCATGACAGCAGTAGACCAGCAGTGCAAGGAGTAGGGGAAGAGCACGCAGTGACAGAGGGTCTGTGCTCACCGGACAGGGCTGCTCGGGCGGCTCGGCTGCAGGGCGGCTCGGCCGCTGGGCGGCTCGGCGGCTGGGCGGCTCGGCGGCTGGGCGGCTCGGCAGCTGGGCGGCTCGGCGGCTGGGCGGTCGGCTGCACGGCGGCTCGGCTGGTGGGCGGCCGGGCGGCTCGGCTGCAGCGCGGCTCGGCGGCGGGGCGGCTCGGCTGCTCTGCTGCTGGGCGGCTCGGCTGCGCTGCTGTTGGGCGGCTCGGCTGGGCCGCTGACGTAGGGCGGCGGGGCCGCTGTAGAGGAGTGGCGGGGCCGCTGCAGAAGGACGGCGGGGCCGCTGGGTAGTGAGGCGGCGGGGCCGCGAAGACGGGCGGCGGGGCCGCCGCAGAGAAGCGGCGGGGCCGCAGTGAAGGGCGGCGGGGCCGCAACGAGAGAAGCGGCGGGGCCGCGAAGTCGGGCGGCGGGGCCGCTGAGTAGGGCGGCGGGGCCGCAGTGAGAGGCGGCGGGGCCGCAGCGAGAGAGGCGGCGGGGCCGCGAAGACGGGCGGCGGGGCCGCTGAGACGGGTGGCGGGGCCGCAGTGAGTGGCGGCGGGGCCGCAGCGAGAGATGGCGGCGGGGCCGCGAAGACGGGCGGCGGGGCCGCAACGAGAGAGGCGGCGGGGCCGCAGAAAAGGGCGGCGACGGGCCGTAGGCGGCGCGAAGCCGCAGGTAAGGGCGGCGACGGGCCGGGGCGGCTCGAAGCCGCAGGTAGAGGCGGCGCGAAGCCGCGGGAAGGGCGGCGACGGGCCTGGGCGGCGCGAAGCCGCAGGTAGGGGCGGCGCGAAGCCGCCGGTGAGGGCGGCGCAAAGCCGCGGGTAAGGGCGGCGACGGGCCGGGAAAAGGGCGGCGCGCCGCAGCCGCTAGGGCGGCTCGATGCAACCGTAAGGGCGGCGCGACGGGCCGCTAGGTGCGACTCGACGGGCCTCTAAAAAAAAAGGCAGGCGCGACTCGAGGCGCGCTTCGGTGGGCCCAAGGAACAGTCCCTGGGAGGGGACCTGCTCTGATTCCATGAGAGAATGAGAACGAGAATGAATGAACTATGAAATGAAGTGAGTACAATTATGAAACCCTAATTGGTTGTACCCCCTATGGGATACCCCACTATAGCCTACACAACAGCATAAGCTATAATGTTCTGACACGTTTCTCCTCGCCACCGACATTTTGCGCCTGGCAAGTTCCTCCAGCTGTCGTTTCTTCAACAGTTGCCCCAAAAATGTCGCCCACGGTGACACTGGTTCGTTGTCTCCAGCTGCCGAAACACATTCCGCGAGTCACGCGCGCAGAATGACGACGAGCCACCGCCGTCACTTGCCGCGTGGGACGAAATTTGAAATTGTCGCGCAACCGTTGACACAGGTCCGACGGCGTCAACTGCCACTCACGATGACGACTCCGCGAATTTCGTGCAGGTGCCGACGCAAGTCAGCTGACGCCAGCTGCCACACAAAATTTCCGAAATCGTTGGTAAAAACGCAGCGGAATAGTACTCACGTCGTCATGTCGCGATAGCTACAGCTGTCCGTTGCCTGGGGGGAGGGAGGTCACGGTCGATCGCTACCGTTCAAGGCAAGGATCTGGCGGTGCCAAGAAGTGCCCGTAAAATTATGGCCGCGATGAGCAACTAACTCGTTCTCCTGGCCGGCTAGCACGCAACTTTTGGACCCCAGGACATCCTTCCTCGTCCCCCCCCTCGAGGGGTATTACACTCTAAAAAGCGAGGTAGGCTAGGAAAGTAGCTCTGATACCAGGTGTTATGAATGAACTTGCAGAGGGCGCATAATAACGAATAACGAGAATGTTGAATACTGAATGCCGATACAAAGAAAGTGTCACTTTTAAATAGGGGAAATCCTAGCTAGGCGGGGAGGTCGGGCGAGGCTGGCTCATGAAAGGTCGCGAATGGGGCGGAGGCGACTCGGGGGTGGTTTGGCCGACGAAATAGGCCGAACGTGAAGTTCGCGTGACCCTCGGGGTTGTACTCGCTAACGAGTGTCACAGTAAGGATTTGTAAATCCTTACAATAAGGTGCCAAGAGTTTAAGTTAGCAGAAGTCTTAGATTGACCTTGCTATAGTAAATGTAAATAACAAGATGATAAAAAATAGCATTACATTGGGTTTATATAGTCCTAGGTAGCCATGTACTCTAAGGGGTGCCTTATTACAAGCATCTCTACAGTTGCAGTGACTATTGCAATTTTACAGTTACCTTGTTGCAGCGTGTTGTCAGTAGAGCTGCACTGTGAGATCCCCGATCGATCCTAGGGGGGGTTACAGGCGCGTTTGCCTGGGGGGTTATGGGCGCACTGACCCGCTACTGAAACAAGCCCTTTTATCCCAGTGGTCTAGTGGTTGGGATTCTGACATGGTATCAGAGCGGTCTCGGGTTCGAATCCCGGTGTATGCACATGTAGGCCGTTGCCACTGTGCTCAGTCCTGGGCCTCCCAGTGTGGGGGGGTGTCAGTAGAGCTGCACTGTGAGATCCCCGATCGATCCTAGGGGGGGTTACAGGCGCGTTTGCCTGGGGGGTTATGGGCGCACTGACCCGCTACTGAAACAAGCCCTTTTATCCCAGTGGTCTAGTGGTTGGGATTCTGACACGTGTAACCCCCGGATACGGTTGCGACCTTTGGACTGGGTCGCAACCTCTAGTCCTGAACTGTCAACAGTCGGGACGGTTGACATTTCGACTGTTGATCTTTCGATCCTCTGTGTGCTCAATATGAGCTACCGCGATAGTGTTACAAGCACATAGGCTCGTTATGAGATATTGCGTTGAGGTGACACCTTCGAGGATGTTGTTATAACCCACCGTATCTGTTATTCCAACCTCGGACATCGCCTGACAAAGCGTCGCCCCAACGGTTCGACCTGTTCTAAAACTGATAATCGACCCATTTTAAATTTTGGGGCACCGAGTTCGTCTTGACTAGGCTGGGCGCCACTTGAAATAAATTTATCCGCTGGACCGATCGCACCAGCGATGACCTTCAGCGTTGCTTGGAGCACCTTCGTTGCTTCGCGAATATCTCTCGGAATTGTGTGGCTGATATTGACCAGATTTCTTAGGAGAGGGAAGTACTATCGAAAAATACCTCTTTCGTATTAGGTTATACTGCTTCGCGTACACCCCCCAACTCTTGGAAGTACAGGCTCGACCAATTTTATCGACACCATGGCTGCCTCGCGTCGCCTTCAGCTTTTCCTTGCCTGCCTTGTATCCAACCTCGAACTCCCGAGGTCCCGGCTAGCTAGGTTTCCTGCTATAATATCTCGTCATTTTCATTGTATGGTCGGTTATTGTCATAGATTCGTTATTTGTTATTCCGCACAGCGCAATCTTTGGACAAATTATAACATACAGCGAATCAAACTTTGGATAAACGTGGCGCACGGGTGTATCGAACAGCGGTGGTGGGGAACGTGTGAAGAATGGTTGAGGTCTGGTGTACGTGTTGGTGCTTGATGTGGTAAGGTTTATGTTAGTCCCTACAATATTCAAGTTCCCTTCTCATAGCAAAGCTTGTTCTTAGAGAGGGTTTAGGGAGTGTGCACCTGATGGTGATCATGGCTCATTGAAACTTTCCGCCAGCCAGCTCACCATCCTGCTCTCATCACGTGCCACGCGTTCGGCCACCGTGGCAACAGCATGTTCATTCGACGCCATCCCTTCGTCTTGTAGCGAGATTCACATTTTCCCGCGCCGCCAACGTGCCACCCAACCCCAACCCATAGCCCTCACATTCACCCCCCTGTCATGTCAGGGTCTGAAGTACCAGCGCACAACGTAACAGAGTAAACCGAACTCAGGCAACGCACTTGTCTGGTTTCCTTCCCTTCTCACCCAACACAGAAAGTACCGTTGGTTGAGATCGACTCGGTACCGCACTGCACCCCCTACAAGTCGTGTCCAACCACGTTGTGACTTTTTCGACACTCAACAGCACCTCCAGTGCGCCTTCCCCCATGGTTTATTGATGATCATTGATCATACGTAGACCATCGATCTTGGTTTGGGTGATGCCTTGAGATTGTCGATCAGGACAAGTTGCTGCTGACTGGCCTATCTGAAGTGCTCGTCACTTGTTTTCCATCGACGAGAGTGGAGGTCGTAGGGGCTCCTCTCCTTCGCCAGTTGCTCTCGTTGCGCGCATTGCCTTCGTAGGTTCGATCATCGCTCGAAATTCCCTCCCAAGTCAGAAGCGAAGCGAATGCCTCGTGCTTGGATTAGCGAGAAGTCGATGGTTTGCTTGAGACGGGACACTAAGCGTGGGTGAAGCTACATGAGAGCGCGTCGACGCATCTGATTTAATCTCTTCCGTCAGCCGTGCTCGCGTCGTTACGCACGCGCACGTACCTCTGCGTAGGGGTTTCCGTTACTCGTCTTTCAGAAGGAAACCATTGTTCCTCAAACGAACCCATCTCGGTTACTGCAGAAGCAGGAGATCACAAAGAGGGTACCGAAGCGCGATGGCTCGAGCAGATCCGTTTCCCCTCACGCAACTCGCGAGTCCCCTTATTTCACACCTCGCGGTTCCGCTTCCGCCCACCGCGCACGTCATGACTTCGGCCACCACGCTTTCCCCCAGCATTTCCCGCCGACTCTCCGCGCGGGTTACCTGCTCTGCCTCCCCCTTCCCCATCTCCCCTTCCCCCGACTCCTTCGATCCTCTCCGCGGCAGCAATCTCGGCGACGGCGCGGGGGAGAGAGGGACGAGGGGAAGACAGGGACAGTCGCGGCAACAGCGGCAGCAGCAACGTCAGCAGGAGCGGCAGCAGCTTCGCCAGCAGCGAAAGCAGGCGGAGTGGCAGGAAAGATCCGAGAAGGTGCGCGAGAGGACGGTTCCGCTGAGTCGCCGCCCGGATTACAGCGACGAGCTGCGCGCCCTGCAGCTCGAAGAGCCAGATCCGCCAGGCGCCAGCCGCGCAGATCCGCCACGCGCCAGCCGCGCAGATCCGCCAGGCGCCAGCCGCGCAGATCCTGCAGGCGCGCGGACCCCCCCCGCGTCGGAAGGTCGCGAAGAAGAAGGTGGCGCGGGGAGGGAGCCTGGGGAGTGGAGCAGCGGGAATAGTGGTAGCAGGGGTAGTGCGAGGGGAAGGGGTGAGAGTGGGGGGAACGAGCGGGGCGGATACTGTCGGGGCGCAGATGAGCTTCCCTCGTTGTCGTCCGTTATGGCGGCCGCCGCCAATATGCCCGCGCAGCGCCCGCGCCAGCGCCAGCGCACACCTCTGCCCTCCCCGGTACAGGCGGAGGTGTGGGCGCAGCAGCGCGCGCTGGAGCGCGTGGCGGAGGAGGTGGAGGCGGAGATTGCGCGCGCGCTGGCGGAGCGGCGCACGGACGACGCCGTGAGGCTGCTGTGGCGGGAGCGGCAGGCGGGGCGGTGGGCGGGCAGCCGCTGCTGGAGCCGCGCGGTGGCGCAACTTAGCCTCCGCGGGCAGTGGCGCAAGGCGAAGCGGCTGATCGACGAGGTGTGCCGCGCGCAGATGGGGGGACACGCGGGCGGAGAGGGGCAGGCGGAACGAGGAAAGGCGTGGGAGCAGCAGTGGCCGGCGGGGAGTGCGGTGGGTAGTGGTGCTGGAGGGAGTGGAGAGGTGTTCAGAGAGGTGCAGGTGGATGAAGACGCCTTCGGTCTCGCTGTGATGGCAGCGGCGCGCAGTGGCTGTGCGGCTGACGCAGGTGAGCACCCGTATGTGGTTACAGCGTTATGATTCCCAGTTACATGGTGTCAGCGTTCTGCGGCTGACGCAGGTGAGTACCGGCCTGGTGGCCTCCCTCTTCCACTTGGTTCTGTGCATGCTGTGCGGCAAGCTCGCTTCCTCCCTCATCACCGTGAATCCTTTCCACGGTGGAGCACCGTGGTGTTCAGCCGCCATGCCATGTTCCCACCTCTTCCCCCTCAACCTCCCCTCCCCTTCCCCATTACTTCCCCTCCCCATCCGTCCGCCCATCAGCGGAGCTCCTGGCGCAGATGCTGCGCGAGGGGCACCTTCCGCGCGTGGCGGTGTGGAGCGCCGTGGTGAGCCGCATGGGCCGCGACCCCGCGCTCGCTGCCGCCGCCGTGAGGCTCTTCAGAGAGTGCTGCGCCGTCGCTGCTGCCAAGGTGCGTTGCTTGCGGAACCATTCCTCACACGCACCACACCCTGCCTGCTTTCCTCCCCAGAGCTGTCCTCACATGCGTCCGGAAACAGCAGCCTTCATTCCTCTAATCCCCCCTATCTCCCGCTCTATGCCCACCCTATGCACTCCATATCCCCTTCCTATCCCCCCTCTTATTCCCCCCTCTGTCCCCCTCTCTATCCCCCCCTCTATCACCACCTCAATCCCCCAATCTGCCTCCGCTTCTGTCCCCCCTTCTATCCCCCTTTCCCCCCTCTCCTATTACCCGCTTCCACCCCAAAGAGCTCTTCACATGCGTCCGGGCACAGCAACCCTCAACCGTCTGTCCGCCCTACCTCTCCCCTCTATCCCCCACCCGTGCGCCCCCTTTCCCTCACCGTTCCCTCCCCTTTCCCTCCCAGTTTCCCCTCAGAGCCCCCCCCCCACATGCGTCTGGACACACCAGCCTTCAACCCCCTATCTCCCCCTATGTTCCCCCAATCCCTTCCCTCTCCCCCCTACTATCCCCCCCCATGCGCCCCATTCCCCCCACCTTCCCCCCCAGAGCGCCCCCCACATTCGTCCGGACACAGCCTTCACCCCCCCATCCCCCCCCCTATCTTCCCTCTATTCCCCCTTCTATCCCACCCCCATGCGCCCCCTATCCCCCCACTTCCCCCCCAGAGCGCCCCCCACATGCGTCCGGACACAGCAGCCTTCAACGCGGCAATCAACGCGGCGGTGACAGCTGGCGACCTCCCATTGGCGGAGCGGCTGCTGGGGGAGGGCATGGCGGGGGCGGGCGTGACTCCCGACGCCATCAGCTTCAACATCCTGATCAAGGGGCGCGCGGCACAGGGCATGCCTGAATGCGCACACGAGCTGCTGAGACACATGCTGGTGAGGGTGGCGTGGCATGGCGTGGGTGGGAAGTGAATGGAGGGCATGGTAGGGGCAGGCATGGCAGGCGCGGGCGTGACCCCAGACGGCGAGCGGCGAGCGGCGGGCGTGCCTCAGCTTTGACATTCTCAAAGGGCGAGCGGCGCAGGGCATGCCTGAACGCGCACTTGAAGTGCTAAGGCACATGATGGTGAGTGTGGCGTGGCCTGAAATGCACAGGGGAGGGCATTGGGCAGGGAAAGCATTGGGACCGACGCCATCAGCTTCAACATCCCAACACAAGCAACCAACGCCTCCCCTATAACTCCTCTTCCCTCAACCTGCCTGCCACTCCTGTCTTCCAGACACAGGGCGTGCAGCCACACGCAGCGCCGTTCAAAAGGGTGGCGGAGTGTGTGGCGTTCACATAGGAGGAACCAGCCAAACCCCTCCCTTCTTACTCCTCCCATTCCCCCACCTGCCATCCATCCATTTCCAGGCGCAAGGGCGTGCAGCCAGATGCAGCGTCCTGCAACTCGGTGGTGGCGGGGTGTGTGGCGTGCAGAATGACGGGGCTCATGGGCCTATCTACCACGTAAGGCCACCTCATGCCCTCTCCGATTTCTCCCTCTCCCTCTCCCTCTCCCTCTCGCTTTTCCTCTCCCTCTCTCTCCCCACTCACACCCCAGTCGCAGGGCGTACAGCCAGACTCGGCATCGTTCAACTCGGTGGTGGCGGGCTATGTGGCGTGCGGCATGATGAGGTGCATGGGTCTCACTACCGCATAGCACCGCTTCATACCCTGTCTGACTCCTCTCTCTTCCTCTCCCCCGCTCCCTCATTCCCCAGGCGCAGGGCGTGCAGCCAGACGCAGCGTCCTTCAACTCAGTGGTGGCGGGCTATGTGGCGTGCGGCATGATGGGGGAGGCGCAGGCGCTCGTGCAGACCATGTGGGACCAGGGGGAGGGGCAGGGGGAGGGGGGGAGGGAGGGGCAGGACCAGGGTGAGGCGGAGGCGGAGGGGGAGGGGCAGGGGGAGGAGAAGGGAGCAGAGGGAAAGGAGGGTGGGAAGCATCGGGTGGGGGTGGGGCCCAACGTGCGTATGCTCTCCATCCTCATCAAGGGCCTCGTTGCCTCTGGGGACCTCGCTGCCGCCTTTCAGGTGCGCTCTCTTCCTCTTCTCCTCCCCACGGATCCACTCCACACCGCTCTTTCCCATTGGCCAGATGTGTTTGTGTGAAATGAGACTTGTGTGTGAGGTTATCACTCAATTGTTTGAGTCTGTTTGCCTGGGCGAACCACGAACACGCATTCTTGCTAGTTCTGAATCCCTGACTTCCTTTTCCACCTCCTCCACCTTTCCCCCCGCCACCAACGTGCAGTGGTTTGAGCGCATGAAGCAGCGGCGGGACACTGCCCCGAACCACATCACATACGCCACGCTCATGCACGCCCTCGTCTCCTCCCCGCCCCACCTCATCCCTGCTCCCATCCTCGCCCGCGCTGCTGCTGCCTATGCCTCTGCTGCCGCTGCCTCTGCCGTTGCCTCTACCTCAGCTGCCTCTGCTGCTGTCGCCGCCACCCCTTTTACTGGCGCCAGTGCAGTGACCTCTGCAGCCTCACAAGCTGCCCTCGCTGCCAGCAGCACCAACCCCCCAGCGCTGCCTCCCCTTGCACCCGCCACCTCACCCGATGCTGCTGCTGCTGCCGACGGCGTGGATTCGCGGGGAGCCGTCGCATCTCTGAGGAAGCCAAGCGTCTGGAAGGCCGCAGGGCCCAGCAATGCAGGTGCAGGCAGTGAGAGTCTTAGCGGCGCTGGCAGCCTTACTGGCACTGGGAGTGGGGCAGGCGCAGGCAGGGGGGAGGCGGTAGAGCAGCAGGGGCTGGGTAATGGCCGTGCTGGTGTGCTGGCTGGTAGCAGCAGAAGGAACAGAATGGTGGTCCGGACAGGCTTTAGCAATCCGACAAGGAGGGAAAACAGCGAGGCCCTAGCAGGTGCAGGCAACCTTGACGAGTTGGCGGTGGTGGCAGCGCGGCAGCTGCTGGAGGAGATGAGGGCGCGGGGCGTGGCAGGCAACACCGCGGTGCTGAACGTGCTTGTTAAAGCCCACTGCGACCGCGGGCAGATGGGGGAGGTGGAGGCACTGCTGAGAGAGATGGGGTGTGGTGGGGGTGCGGGTTCTGGGAAGCGGCGGCTAATGCAAGGCACGGCTTCCCCTGCTGCACCCAATACTGGTGAGGCTGCTGGGGAGGCTGCTGGAGGCTTTCAGGGCGCTTCTAAGGCGCCTCAAAAGCCACCTGTTGCTGGCGAGATTGCTGATGCTTCTGAGGGTTCGGCCACCCGTGGGGGGGGCGTGTGGGGCGTGCGGCCAAACGCTGCAACGTTTGTGACCATCATAGCGGCGTGTGGCAGGGCGGGCACGTGGAAAGGGCGGGGTCAGGCGAAGTGGAGTGCTCGGGGTGATGCTGTCAGTGGCGCTGATACTATTGCAGAGCCTGGTGTGCTGCCTCAGGCTGCTGGCCGTTATGCTGCTGGTGCCCTAGTTAACCCGAGCAGCAGTTTTGTGGGCGAGAGCTGGAGCAGCCGCACCAGCGAAACTGGCACGTCCTTTTACGATCCGGTGGATGTGAGGTCAGCACAACGCAACGGCAGCAGCAGCAGTAGCAGCAGGGCGGAGACGGAGTGGGGTAGAGGGGAGGCTGAGCGGAGCAGAGGGGATTCACAGTGGGGCAGGTATGAGAGCGAGTGGGGTGGGGCAGAGGCAGCATTGCAGTGGTTTGCGCGCATGCGGCGGGAAGGCATAGCGCCAACAGTGCAGGTGTACACGGCTCTCATCTCCGCCCTCGGCCAGGCCCCTGATGCTGACCCTGCCCGCGCCCTCTCCGTGTTTGAAGAGTTGCTTGTGGAGGCTGGGAGTGGTGGAGTGCGGTTGGGAGGTAGAGAGGGTGGTGGGAGCCGGGGAGGGAGAGGCAGTGCGGCGATGAGTGGTGGAGAGGAGTTGCGGGTGGATGCAGCGGCGTGGGGCGCGGTGATTGACTCGCAGGCGAGGGCAGGGCTGGTGGAGCAGGCGTGGAGTCTGTACCAGCGAGCCAAGGTGGGCATACTCTTTGTGTCAGCTTTGCACATTCGTTTAGCGTTACAAGCCTAACAATACGAGGGGGTCCAGTCCAGGGTGGGCATACCCTGGACTGAAGGTGCTTCGCCTTTCTCTTGCACACACCCCCCCTGTTGCCCCTGCAGTCACCTCCGTTCCGTGTCACCTTCATTCTTCGCTCACCACCTCGCTCTCACCTCGCTCTCACCTCGCTCTCACCTCGCTCTCACCTCGCTCTCACCTCGCTCTCACCTCGCTCTCACCTCGCTCTCACCTCGCTCTCACCTCGCTCTCACCTCGCTCTCACCTCGCTCTCACCTCGCTCTCACCTCGCTCTCACCTCGCTCTCACCTCGATCTCACCTCGCTCTCACCTCGCTCTCACCTCGCTCTCACCTCGCTCTCACCTCGCTCTCACCTATGATGAATCTCATTCTCCCACCACACTCGCACCTCGCATGTGACACCTGACAGCTCAAACGCGTGACTCACAGCTCAAACGCATGACTCACAGCTCAAACGCATGACTCACAGCTCAAACGCATGACTCACAGCTCAAACGCATGACTCACAGCTCAATCGCATGACTCACAGCTCAAACGCATGACTCACAGCTCAATCGCATGACTCACAGCTCAATCGCATGACTCACAGCTCAAACGCATGACTCACAGCTCAAACGCATGACTCACAGCTCAATCGCATGACTCACAGCTCAATCGCATGACTCACAGCTCAATTGCATGACTCACAGCTCAAACGCATGACTCACAGCTCAATCGCATGACTCACAGCTCAAACGCATGACTCACAGCTCAAACGCATGACTCGCGAATGGCCTTTGCCTTTTCACTCTCTTCCGCAACTGCCTTCCTTCCACATGCGAGCCGCTTCAGTCGTCCCCGTGCCAGCCACCAACGACACTCAAATGTGCGCATTGGCAACTGCAGAGGGGGGAGGCACGCCTAGCACATGTTTGAACCTTTCTCTTTCACCTCCCTCCTCACTTTCACCTCTCTTCTCCCACCTGCAGGCGGCTTCAGTCGTCCCCACGCCAACCACCTATGGCAGCTTAGGCCGAGCACAGGCAACAGCGGAGAGGGCAGGGGAGGCGCTGGTGCTGTGGTGCGACTCAAAAGGATCGACTGGTGAAGTAACCTTCCTCTCTCTCTCACACACTCCTCTCCCTTCCTTCCCGCCTGCAGGCATCCTCGATTGCCCCCACGCCAGCCACATACGGCAGTCTGGTGCGAGCGCTGGCAGCAGCAGAGAGGGCCGGGGAGGCGCTGGTGCTGTGGCGCGACTTGAAGGAGCGACTGGTGGGGGCGCAGGGCAGTGATTGGGAGGAGGGGCTGGAGTTGGGGGGAATTGAGGGCGGGGAAGGGAGGTGGGAACTGATGGGAGAGGCGAGGGAGGGGCGGTGGGAGGAGCTAGGCGAGACGGGAGGGAGCGGGAGTGAGGGAGGGAGTGAGGGGGAGGAGGAAGGAGGGATGGGGGAGAGCGAGGGGGAGGAGGGGGGAGTGGTGGAGGTGGTTGGAGTACGCGGGGAGAGGGAGTGGGTGAGGAGCAGGTGGGAGCAAAGAGGGGACGGAGGGGGAGTGAGAGGGAGAGTGGTGGGTGTGGCAGCAGAAAGAGTGACGTGGAGGGCAGGAGTGGCAGGAGGAGGAGCAAAGGGGGCAGCAGGGGTGTGTGTGGATGAGGCAGTGATGGATGGGCTCATGCTCATCTTCATGCAGGCTGGATACTTCCAGGTGAGCACCTCCCTGTGCCTCTCCCCCACACTCTACCTCTCTCACTCTTCCTCTTCCTCGCTTGCACTCTATCGGCCTCTCTACCTCTCTCATGCTCGTTGTTACTTGCCTCGACTCTGATGGGGGTCCTTCTTCCGATCACCATCGCTCTCCTCCCTCACACTCGCTCTCTTCTCAATACCTTTCCTTCTCCCCCTCTCCCTCATCCCCATTAACCATTGCCACTGGAGGTGGTGGGGGCAATTGAAAGAGCAGAGCTGGCTCTTGACATCCTAGTACAGACAAAAGCTCATGTATTCGCCCACTTCCCTCCTCCTTTGCTCATCCCCCTTCCTTTTCCCCCTCACAGCGCGCACTGGAGGTGGTGGGGGCGATGGAGAGGGCAGGGTTAGCGCCCGAGCGGCTCAAGTTCAAGCACATGCTCATCGCCCCCTCTCCTCCCTCTCCCCTTCCCTGGCACAACCCAACCTTGCAGCGTGCACTGGAGGTGGTGGGGGCGATGGAGAGGGCAGGGTTAGCGCCCGAGCGGCTCAAGTTCAAGCGCATGCTCATCGCCTCCCTCTCCCCTTCCCTGGCACAACCCAACCTTGCAGCGCGCACTGGAGGTGGTGGGGGCGATGGAGAGGGCAGGGTTAGCGCCCGAGCGGCTCAAGTTCAAGCGCATGCTCATCGCCTCCCTCTCCTCCCTCTCCCCTTCCCTGGCACAACCCAACCTTGCAGCGTGCACTGGAGGTGGTGGGGGCGATGGAGCGAGCAGGGCTGGCGCCAGACAGGCTCAAGTACAAGCGCATGCTCATCACCTCCCTCTCCTCGCGCCGCCACCGCGCCCTCTCCTCCCTCTCCACTGCCACCGCTGCTCCCGATGAGTTCCCGGGGTCACGGGGCTTTGAAGCGCTTAAGTTCTGGCTGGGGCTGCCCAACCGCCTGTATGAGTCCGACTGGAGCTGGAGGGATTGAGAGGTTTCAATCAGGACTCGCGCATGCCCAACCTTGGTTTCTGGCTGGGGCTGCCCAACTGCCTGTATGAGTCCGACTGGAGCTGGCAGATATTTATGGCAAGCTGCTTGATGATGATGCAATATTGGGCTAAGAAGAGTGTTAGTGTCTGTCATTTTTTAGTAGCATAGCTATGGTATGATGAATATATTCTGCCTAAACATGGGTGTAGTTCCAAGATGGTTGTGATTGGGCTGGTATTATGGATGACTTCACCTGCCATTGACTCTTGCATTGCGCGAATAACGTTATGTGCATGGATTAGAAAGGGTTAGGGCGTGTTCCTACGGCCTCTTATCAGACGAACCTCTTGTCAGATTCGTGTCGCACCGCACTGAAACGCGCAAAATAACATCCGATCGCATTGAATCGCATTGAACCGCACAAGTCTGACAAGAGGTCAACTGAGGGCTTTAGGAACACGCCCTTATAGGTGATAAACTATCAACGGGTGTTCCCGTTGATAAACTTGCCATTATAAACCAATTCTCATTCAACCATTACTCAGTTACTTCTTCGCCTATTTCGCTAATACATATTTCGCCAAAGTCTTCCGCCGCGTTTCAACCTCGGTATACTCAACCCCGATATTCTTTAGCGGATTTAGGCCAAGGGGCCTAACCAGGGTTTTTTTTTGGATTTTCACTACTCGGATTTTCAGAGTCGTTTTTTTGGGAACCCTGAAATTCAGGGTTGGTCATGCGTTACTCTGATTTGTCAGAGAAAACTGTTAGAATAAGCAGGCAGGAATGATGGACTAGGTAGCATGCATGAGTACAAGTACCTAACCCTAAAGTGTTTGTAGGCTAACCCACTATCGCCTAGAGAGAACACAAACATACAGTTTGACACACCCCCATAGGCTAAGTGGGAGATAGCAAACACAACAGACGGTCACTAGACCAGTCAAGCAAGAGAACAAGCAAAGCAAAGCAAAGCTCAGGGTGGATCTCAAGGACACCACACAATCTGAGCACAAGCAAGCGGCCACAAGGCCAGTTCACATGCAGAGTTATAATAGCAAGGCAGTACACTGATCACAACCTAGCAAGAGTAAACAAGCAGATATAAAGATATATATCAGTGTACAACAAGAGCAAGTCAAGCAACCAGCAGGTGAGGCAGAGTGGGCACAAGCCCAAGAGCAGTGCAGAAATGGTGATGATCACCAGACCCAAGGGCCTTGGTGAAAACATCAGCAGTGTTGGCCCGAGAGGCCACGAAAGCAAGGCGCAGCTGACCACGCTGCTGCATCTCTCAAGCAAGAAAGTAGCGAAGAGCAATGTGCTTCGTTCGGTGCTCCAGTCTCTGCTCGCGACACAAGGCAAGCATTGCCTTGTTGTCGACGTACAGAACTGGAGGAGAACGAGGCCGCTCCTCTAAGTCGGTCAGCAAGTAGGTCAGCCAGCGTAGCTCCTGTGCAGCCATGGCCCCAGCGTAGATCTCGGCCTCACAGCTGGAACCAAACATAGAAGAAGAACGAGTGGACCTCCACGAGACAGAACCAGAGCCAAGACTGAAGGTGTAACCCTGTGACGAACGCTGAGTCGTCTGGTCGTCGACCCAAGAAGCGTCAGAGTGTCCTGTGAGGACCACCGAACCCCGTCCTCCAAGCACGAGCCCCATGCCCGATGTGCTGCTTAAGTAACGCAGTACCCTCTTCGCAGCATCAAAGTGCACCTTTCGGTGTCTACCGGGTGCCACGTAGCGAGCCAGGAGGCTGAGAGGGTACGCGAGGTCAGGTCGTGTGCACGTCATCAGGTACATGAGGCAACCCACAAGCTCTGGGTATGGACCACTCGGCTCTACGGACTCGTCCGAAGGTGGAGCTGAGAGCGAGTGGCCGGCAGACAGAGGAGTGGGCTGTGGCCAGGACCACATGAAGCGGAAGCGCTGAAGGACCTGCTGCACCATGTGTGACTGAGTCAGGGTGATGGTGCGCCGTGCTCTGTCCCGGGTGATCTGCAAGCCAAGATAGCTGCGCAGCTCACCCAGGTCAGTGCAGGTGTGTCTCTCCTGCAGCTCCGCCTTCACTAGGGCCAGTGCCTCAGTGTTAGCAGTAGCAAAAACCAAGTTGTCGACGTACACGATAACGTAGAACGGCGGCAGAGTAGTGTCGGTGCGTAGAAACAGCGACGGGTCAGCAGTCGAAGGAGCAAACCCAAGAGCCGCAAGTGTCGTCCTCAGTGTGTCGTGCCACTCACGGGGCGCCTGACGCAGGCCGTACACTGGTCGCCGTAGGCTCCACTGGGTACCCTCAGGAAACGACCCAGTGAAGCCCTGTGGACGGCGCAACCAAATGGCCTCGTGAAGGCTACCCTGCAAGAAAGCTGTCGAGAAGTCGAGGGAGTGCAGCTCGTAGTCACGCTGAGCTGCAACGTGTAGCAACACCCGAAGAGTGGTCATCTTCGGGGTGGGGGAGAAGGTCTGAAAGAAGTCGACCCCCTCACGCTGACTGAAGCCTCGAGCAACGTAACGTGCCTTGAAGGCAGGCGGAGAAACCGGCGGCCGCTTCACCATGAAAATCCACATGCCACTGACGATGTTCGCCCCAGGTGGGGGAACCTCGTCGACGTAGGTGCCTGTGGACTTCCAGGAAGCCATCTCTGCGTCCATGGCTGTCTGCCACTGAGAGGAGTACTCACCCGAAATCGCCTCCCTGTAGGAGCGCGGGGTGGGGATGTCAAGTGCATCCGGGTCTCCCTCAGGGGCAAGCAGCATGGTCGCGTGATGGGGTGAAGCAGCCGCAAGGCACTCCAGCTCCTCCTGTCTGTCCTCAAGAACGTCACAGCCAAGGGCAGTACAGCCAAGGGCAGTCTCACCCCCGACGGACGGAGGACAGGCAGGGACAGGGTCAGAGACAAGACTCGCAAGGTAGTCTAGGCGGTACACAGCAGCAAAGTCAACGAGCTCAGCGACTAAGGCAGATGCAGCAGGAGACGAGAACGTAGGGTCAGTCACAACCGTAGCAAGGAAGCGAGTAACAGTCGGACTGGACGCACGAGCAAGGTCAGACGGAGGGTGAGCAACGTCAGGAAGAGAGGACGCAGGAGGTAACGGTAGGACAACACGCTGTGGAATAGAGGAAGGACGGAGTGTCATATCGTGAGTGCGGAGGACAGCCGGAGCACGCGGATGACGAACACGAGGAACACGAGCACGGACAGCAGCTCTAGGCTCAGGCTCAAGGTCAAAGCTAGACTCAGGCTCTCGACGCTCAGGGGTGGAAGCACGAGTCTCAGGCTCTCGACGCTCAGTCAAGGACTCTGTCACCGCAGTGTAAGGAGCAGGAGCAGGCAGTGGGGAGTGCGGTAGCAGTGGCGGCTGTGACTGGTCCGCCGGTGGAAACAGTAACTGAGGAGTAGTACCTGCCACAGGGAAGTCAGTAGCACCTGGCGGAAGACTGAGAAGGTGGCGAAGAGCACCAGCAGCTCCCGTACCTCCAGCGCGAGTAGCTCCTCCAGTACCCCCAGCAGCACCTCCAGCACCAGTAGCACCAGCACCTCCAGCACCACGAGCTCCGACAGCGCTTGCACCTCGAGCACCAGTAGTACCTCCAGCACATCCAGTGCCTCCAGCTCCAACGCCTCCAGCACCAGCAGCACCAGCACCTCCAGGGTCAGCAGCTCCCGCAGCTCCAGCACCAGTAGCACCAGCACCTCCAGTGCCAGCAGCTCCAGCACCCAGAGCACCTCCAGTAACAGTAGTACCTCCAGCACCAGCAGCTCCAGTACCTCCAGCTCCAGTACCTCCAGCACCGGCAGCACCTCCAGTACTAGCAGCTCCAGTACCTCCAGCACCAGCAGCAGCTCCAGTACCCCCAGCACCAGCAGCACCTCCAGCACCTCCAGGCCCAACAGCTCCAGTACCTCCAGCACCAGTAGCACCTCTAGTACCTCCAGCAGTACCTCCAAGCCTAGCAGCTCCAGTACCTCCAGCACCAGCAGCACCTCTAGTACCTCCAGTAGTACCTCCAGCACCTCCAGCACCAGCAGCACCTCCTGGACTAGTAGCTCCAGCACCAGCAGGACCGTACCCTCCACCACCAGGACTGCCTCGCCGAACGACCCACGCACGAATCGCCTGCGGCGAGAGCGTCTCAAGTAGAGCAGGCTGCGGTGGCTGTCCAGCTCCAGTACCTCCAGTAGTGGTAGCTCTAGCACCTCCAGCACCAGAAGCACCTCTAGTACCTCCAGCTCCAGCACCTCCAGCACCAGCAGCAGCTCCAGTACCTCCAGCACCAGTAGTACCTCTAGTACCTCCAGTAGTACCTCCAGGCCTAGTAGCTCCAGTACCTCCAGCTCCAGGACCTCCAGAAGGACTCGCAGCACCCCCAGAGTCAGCACCCGAAGTCTCAGCACCCCCAGAGTCAGCACCCAAAGTCTCAGTACCCCCAGGCTCAGTACCCTCAGGCTCAGTACCCTCACTCCCAGCACCCGCAGGCTCAGTGCCCTCAGTCCCAGCACCCGCAGGCTCAGTACTCTCAGTCCCAGCACCCGCAGGCTCAGTACCCTCAGTCCCAACACCCTCAGGCTCACTACCCTCAGTCCCTGCACCCTCAGTCTCAGCTCCTGTGTCCACTGCAGAAGGCTGCAGAGGCGGGAAACCGGGGGGGGTAGCCAAACGAGGAGAGCGGACGCCCCCACACGTACCACCCCCAGGCCCAGCTCCAGCAGCCTCAGCTCCAGAGTCCATAGTAGCAGGCCGCGGAGGTGGCGAAGACGGCCGAGGCGGGAAACCAGGGGGGGTCTCCAAGCGAGGAGTGCGGCGAGTGGTCGCCGTGTCGTCGGCGGCGGTGTCACCCCCCTCAGCTAGGTCAGAGGAGTCAGAAGAGATCTCCACTGGCTCATCCAAGGGGGGTGGGTCTACCTGAGACACACCTGAGGGAGCAGGACCCTGTGGGGGAAGGGGGTCTACCGGGGGGGGGACTGGTACCAGGAAGAGAGGCGCGAGGGGGACCGGGTGGGACGCGTGTGGGTGAAGTCGGTAGTAACAGACCGACTCGTCGAAGGTGACGTCCTGAGAGGACAGAACACGACGCGAGGCAGGGTGGTAGAACTGCCAGGGCGGGGCGTCGGTGGGGAAGCCCAGGAAGACACAGCGGAGAGTGCAAGGAGAGAGCTTGCTCGCTTTGGTATCGCGAACAAGGGAGAGCGCGCCCCAGACCCGAAACGACGATGCATCACCAGGCTGTCCCGTCCAACGGAGTGTGGGCGAGGTCTCTGGAGCAGATACACGGGGCCAGAGGTTGAGCTCATGCGCGGCGTATCGGACCGCAAACGGCCACAGGAAATGGGGAGCAGCCGCATGGATCATGGAGGTACGAGCAACATCCATGATCAGGCCAATGCGGCGCTCAGCGATCCCATTTTGCTGCGGAGAGGCCGGAAGCGTGAACGACTGGGCGATGCCCTCGTCCTGACAGAACGTCTCAAGGACGCCAGAGGAGAACTCACCACCCCTGTCAGAGTGCAGACGCAGAACTGGAAAGTCCCACCGAAACCGCTCGCGCAGCTGGTGACGAGTAGCACGGATCCAGGGGATCAGGACACCACTGACATCCGCCTTGCGCCGCAAGGGGAAGACGGTGGTGTAGCGTGTGTAGTCGTCAACAACCAGCAGGAAGTAGCGCTCCTGGTCCGTTCCACCGACTGGGGCCGGGCCCCACACGTCCAGGTGGAGAGTCTGCAGAGGAGAAGTGGTCGGAGGAAACTCGGAGGAGTGAGGAGCGGCGCGCTGCCGCCCCTCGACGCAAGGAAGGCACGGCGGGGCAAGCGAGCGCGGCAGGGGGGGCAGGGTCCTGGGGAGGCCAGAGACAAGGAGACGGGAGTGCATACTGCGTAGACGTGGCAGGGAGGGGTGACCAAGACGGTGGTGCCAGCGCTGAGTCTCGTGCGTGAGTACTCTGCACGAGCAAGACGCAGCTAACTGCCCCGACGCAGACGCCCGACTCGACGCAGCCACCTGACCTGACTCAGCCACCTGTGCAGACTTAGTGGTCAGTGTGTACAAACTAGACCCAGGCTGTCGAGTGAACGTAGCCAGGTGACGGCCAGTCCGGGAGCACGTACAGATCGCCACACGCTGCCCTCCAGGAATAAAGGTATCAACCCAGACATCCTGAATGGCAGCGTTGCTCACCAAGTTCGTCGAGAACCTGGGGAGGTGGAGACCTGACAGAGAGCCGGAGGGGACTGCTGGACAAGGGAGGACCGTGGAGGCTCTCGCAACTACTGGGCCCCCAGAGGGGTCAGCCAGTGAGACTGGGACAGGTGCTGTGAGTGGTGTGACTGTGGTGCAATCACGAAAGAAGCAACGTGACGCACCTGAGTCAAGCGTGAAAGTGTGCAAGACCTCAGCTGAGGCAGGACCTGTGGCAGTAGACGCACTAGCACCTAGAGCGTCGGCAGACTCACGGGCACCTAGAGCTGCAGCAGATTCACTAGCACCTGGAGCAGCAGCAGACTCACTAGCACCTGGAGTGGCAGGAGACTCACTAGCACCAAGAGCAGCAGCCTTAACATAACGATAACCTCCACCACTAGGACGGCCTCGCTAAAAAACCCACTCACGAAGCTGCTGAGGGGTGGGGTCGTCCGGGAGAGGCAGTGCCCGCAGCTGTCCACCCCTGGCCGCAGCAACTGCCGCGATAGTGGCCATGACAGACAGCGACGGTCAGGAGTAGGTCCAGCACCTCCAGCTCCTACAGCACCAGCAGCACCTACAGCACCAGCAGCACCTCCAGCACTCCCAGCAGCACCTCCACCAGCAGCAGCAGTAGCACGAGGAGCAGCAGCAGTAGTAGTAGCAGCAGCAGGGCAGCTCAGTGGGGCTGGGCGGCCGCACCTCCAGCACTCCCAGCAGCACCTCCACCAGCAGCAGCAGTAGCACGAGTAGCAGCAGCAGCAGTAGTATTATTATTATTAATATATATATATATGTTTTTTTTTTTTTTTTAGGGTTTAGGGTTGCGCGCGGCCCACGGGCTGCAGGGGCGACGCGCGGCTCGGCAGGGCGGCGCGCGGGCTGCAGGGGCAGCGCCCACGGGCTGCAGGGGTGACGCGCAGCTCGGCAGGGCGGCGTGCGGGCTGTAGGGGCGGGGCGCGGCTCGGCAGGGCGGCGCCCAGGCAGCAGGGGCGATGCTCGGCTCGGCAGGGCGGCGCGCGGGCTGCAGGGGCAGCGCCCACGGGCTGCAGGGGCGACGTGCGGCTCTGTACCAGCGAGCCAAGGTGGGCATACTCTTTGTGTCGGCTTTGCACATTCGTTTAGCGTTACAAGCCTAACAGTACGAGGGGGTCCAGTCCAGGGTGGGCATACCGTGGACTGAAGGTGCTTCGCCTTTCTCTTGCACACACCCCCCCTGTTGCCCCTGCAGTCACCTCCGTTCCGTGTCACCTTCATTCTTCGCTCACCACCTTGCTCTCACCTCGCTCTCACCTCGCTCTCACCTCGCCCTCACCTCGCTCTCACCTCGCTCTCACCTCGCTCTCACCTCGCTCTCACCTCGCTCCCACCTCGCTCTCACCTCGCTCTCACCTCGATCTCACCTCGCTCTCACCTCGCTCTCACCTCGCTCTCACCTATGATGAATCTCACTCTCCCACCACACTCGCACCTCGCATGTGACACCTGACAGCTCAAACGCGTGACTCATAGCTCAAACGCATGACTCACAGCTCAAACGCATGACTCACAGCTCAAACGCATGACTCACAGCTCAAACGCATGACTCACAGCTCAATCGCATGACTCACAACTCAAACGCATGACCCACAGCTCAATCGCATGACTCACAGATCAATTGCATGACTCACAGCTCAATTGCATGACTCACAGCTCAAACGCATGACTCACAGCTCAATCGCATGGCTCACAGCTCAATCGCATGACTCACAGCTCAATTGCATGACTCACAGCTCAAACGCATGACTCACAGCTCAATCGCATGACTCACAGCTCAAACGCATGACTCACAGCTCAAACGCATGACGCGAATGGCCTTTGCCTTTTCACTCTCTTCTGCAACTGCCTTCCTTCCACATGCGAGCCGCTTCAGTCGTCCCCGTGCCAGCCACCAACGACACTCAAATGTGCGCATTGGCAACTGCAGAGGGGGGAGGCACGCCTAGCACATGTTTGAACCTTTCTCTTTCACCTCCCTCCTCACTTTCACCTCTCTTCTCCCACCTGCAGGTGGCTTCAGTCGTCCCCACGCCAACCACCTATGGCAGCTTAGGCCGAGCACAGGCAACAGCGGAGAGGGCAGGGGAGGCGCTGGTGCTGTGGTGCGACTCAAAAGGATCGACTGGTGAAGTAACCTTCCTCTCTCTCTCACACACTCCTCTCCCTTCCTTCCCGCCTGCAGGCATCCTTGATTGCCCCCACGCCAGCCACATACGGCAGTCTGGTGCGAGTGCTGGCAGCAGCAGAGAGGGCCGGGGAGGCGCTGGTGCTGTGGCGCGACTTGAAGGAGCGACTGGTGGGGGCGCAGGGCAGTGATTGGGAGGAGGGGCTGGAGTTGGGGGGAATTGAGGGCGGGGAAGGGAGGTGGGAACTGATGGGAGAGGCGAGGGAGGGGTGGTGGGAGGAGCGAGGCGAGACGGGAGGGAGCGGGAGTGAGGGAGGGAGTGAGGGGGAGGAGGAAGGAGGGATGGGGGAGAGCGAGGGGGAGGAGGGGGGAGTGGTGGAGGTGGTTGGAGTACGCGGGGAGAGGGAGTGGGTGAGGAGCAGGTGGGAGCAAAGAGGGGACGGAGGGGGAGTGAGAGGGAGAGTGGTGGGTGTGGCAGCAGAAAGAGTGACGTGGAGGGCAGGAGTGGCAGGAGGAGGAGCAAAGGGGGCAGCAGGGGTGTGTGTGGATGAGGCAGTGATGGATGGGCTCATGCTCATCTTCATGCAGGCTGAATACTTCCAGGTGAGCACCTCCCTGTGCCTCTCCCCCACACTCTACCTCTCTCACTCTTCCTCTTCCTCGCTTGCACTCTATCGGCCTCTCTACCTCTCTCATGCTCGTTGTTACTTGCCTCGACTCTGATGGGGGTCCTTCTTCCGATCACCATCGCTCTCCTCCCTCACACTCGCTCTCTTCTCAATACCTTTCCTTCTCCCCCTCTCCCTCATCCCCATTAATCATTGCCACTGGAGGTGGTGGGGGCAATTGAAAGAGCAGAGCTGGCTCTTGACATCCAAGTACAAACAAAAGCTCATGTATTCGCCCACTTCCCTCCTCCTTTGCTCATCCCCCTTCCTTTTCCCCCTCACAGCGCGCACTGGAAGTGGTGGGGGCGATGGAGAGGGCAGGGTTAGCGCCCGAGCGGCTCAAGTTCAAGCGCATGCTCATCGCCTCCCTCTCCTCCCTCTCCCCTTCCCTGGCACAACCCAACCTTGCAGCGTGCACTGGAGGTGGTGGGGGCGATGGAGAGGGCAGGGTTAGCGCCCGAGCGGCTCAAGTTCAAGCGCATGCTCATCGCCTCCCTCTCCCCTTCCCTGGCACAACCCAACCTTGCAGCGCGCACTGGAGGTGGTGGGGGCGATGGAGAGGGCAGGGTTAGCGCCCGAGCGGCTCAAGTTCAAGCGCATGCTCATCGCCTCCCTCTCCTCCCTCTCCCCTTCCCTGGCACAACCCAACCTTGCAGCGTGCACTGGAGGTGGTGGGGGCGATGGAGCGAGAAGGGCTGGCGCCAGAGAGGCTCAAGTACAAGCGCATGCTCATCACCTCCCTCTCCTCGCGCCGCCACCGCGCCCTCTCCTCCCTCTCCACTGCCACCGCTGCTCCCGATGAGTTCCCGGGGTCACGGGGCTTTGAAGCGCTTAAGTTCTGGCTGGGGCTGCCCAACCGCCTGTATGAGTCCGACTGGAGCTGGAGGGATTGAGAGGTTTCAATCAGGACTCGCGCATGCCCAACCTTGGTTTCTGGCTGGGGCTGCCCAACTGCCTGTATGAGTCCGACTGAAGCTGGCAGATATTTATGGCAAGCTGGTTGATACACCTCCTGTCAGATTCGTGTCGCACCGCACTGAAACGCGCAAAATAACATTCGATCGCATTGAATCGCATTGAACCGCACAAGTCTGACAAGAGGTCAACTGAGGGCTGTAGGAACACGCCCTTATAGGTGATAAACTATCAACGGGTGTTCCCGTTGATAAACTTGCCATTATAAACCAATTCTCATTCAACCATGACTCAGTTACTTCTTCGCCTATTTCGCTAATACATATTTCGCCAAAGTCTTCCGCCACGTTTCAACCTCGATATACTCAACCCCGATATTCTTTAGCGGATTTAGGCCAAGGGGCCTAACCAGGGCTTTTTTTTGGATTTTCACTACTCGGATTTTCAGAGTTGTTTTTTTGGGAACTCTGAAATTCAGGGTTGATCATGAGCAGGGCCCACGATATCAGGGCAAAACATCCAGATTACCCTGATTTCAGGATGCGGTTTTAAATATGCCCTGTAATTTCAGAATGCTGCTCATTTGTACCCTGTGATCTCTGGATGTTGCTCCCTGATATGCCCTGAATTTTCAGGATTGCCATACTGTTTTGACCTGTAGAGTGAGGATGAATATCGAAGATTGCCCTGACGCGAATTTTGGAGGGGGGTGCTGGGGTGGGGGGAAGGGGGGGGGGGGGGGTAGGGGGGGTGGGGGCTGGTTTTCCCTTGACACATGTACGCACCGACCAGCCAACCACCGACCACGCGCTCGTTAGCATCACTCATGCCCAACGCGGACGATGTCACGGCGTCAGTATCATAGGCTGGCACTGTTTATGTTTTTTTGCCCTGAGAGGTCAGAATGTATTTCTGCCTAATGCCTGAAAATACAGGATAGCTTAAAAAAGTTGCCCTGAGAAATCAGGGCATTTTTTTGGATTCTGCAAAGTTACCCTGACGCCTCAGGATGCCCTAGATCCTAGTGAGGGCCCTGATCATGAGCGTTACTCTGATTTGTCAAAGAAAACTGTTAGAATAAGCAGGCAGGAATGATGGACTAGGTAGCATGCATAAGTACAAGTACCTAACCCTAAAGTGTTGTACCCCTAGTAGGCTAACTCACTATAGCCTAGAGAGAACACAAACATACAGTTTGAAAAAAACTTAACTTCTGAAAAAAAAACTAAGGACAATCAGTGTACCAATTTTTCCAACTCTGAATGTCCTCTCAAGTATTGAACCCACGCCTTTCGCACTCCTACAAAAAAAATCGCCGGTGTGCTATGCGCTCACCAAACATTGGTGAGATGCAAGTAAACCACAGAAAACTAATTCTGCTTGCCATTTCCCACCAAGTCAAGGGGGGCCTCGGTCGAAATTTCTGTACCCTGTACAGAGAAAAATGCATTCGCCAGAAATTTACACTAGTCTATCAGAGTACATAAAATCAAAACCCTGGAAAATCAGAGAAGACTTAACTTCCAAAAATATTACCCAGAAACGTTAGAGTGACCCCCCAAAAACCACTCTGATTTTCAGAGAAATAGAGTAATTTACTCTGATAAAAAATCCCCTGGGCCTAACACTTGGTATCAGGAGCCTTCGCGGGGAGCGACTTCCAACGAGCGTCCGTCGACGACAAGACTACGACGTCATCGTCCCGCGGTGCCGACTTGCAGACTTGGAGTCGTCGAGCCGACATGGATGAAACCATGACTGCTGTCCCCAACGACATGGGCAACACGCTTGCAACTCATGCGTCAACTCGAAACGTTGACGCTGTAGAATCGTCAAGTACGGGCTGAAATGCAACAGCTTCATGAATTCGCGTCTATTCCTCTTGGTCATGCCGCACCATCTCCTGCACCCAACACGTCGACTAGCGCGGAAGCGCTGCCCGAACGTCGAAGCGCGCTCAAGCCGCAGAAGCCCGAGCCGTCCGACCCAAGTCAACGCGACGCGAACGTGCGGACGTGGATCTTCATGCTGAACAACTACTTCGCCGCGAGCGGGGTGCAAGAGGCGGACACGCAGCAGCGGATCAAGTACTCCGTTACGCTGCTGAGGGGCCCGGCCTTGGAGTGGTGGCGCCAACTCACGCAAACTGCTGTAAGAATGGCTCATTTGGACGGGCATCAACAGGGCGAGGGGCATGCAGTGTAAAGAAATGAGGAATGGATTGACTAAGGGAAAGTTGGGTACAAAAGCAAACCCTAGAAAACTGTACCCCATATGTGCTACCCCACTATAGCCTACAGTAGCTATGTCATATAAATCTGACACACCCCCATAGGCAAAGTGGGGGAGAACAAGGGGTCACAAGACCAGTCAAGCAAAGCAAAGCAAGCTCAGGGAGGATCACAAAGTCACCACACATTCCGAGCACAAGTTCAAGGCCACAAGGCCAGTTCACATGCAGGATTACATATATATATAAGGCTAGACAAGCAAGAGCAGGTGTATATATATATATGCAACAGTACAAACAAGGTCAAGGGGTGAGCAAGTGAGGCAAGGTAGGCACAAGACCCAGCTGAGTACAGAAGCGCTGATGATCACAAGGCGCAAGTGCCTTGGTGAAGATATCAGCAGTGTTGGCCTCAGAGGCCACGTACGCAAGCCGTAGCTGACCACGCTGCTGTAGCTCACGAGCAAGGAAGTAGCGGAGAGCAATGTGCTTCGTTCTGTGCTCCAGTCTCTGCTCTCGACACAAGGCCAGCATGGCCTTGTTGTCTACGTACAGCACTGGAGGAGAACGAGGCGGCTCTCCGAGGTCAGTCAGCAGGTAGGTGAGCCAGCGAAGCTCCTGTGCAGCCATGGCCCCGGCGTAGATCTCAGCCTCACAACTGGAGCCGAGAACAGAAGACGAGCGGGTAGCCCGCCACGAAACAGAGCCGGAACCAAGGCTGAAGGTGTAACCCTGTGACGACCGCTGCGTAGCCTGGTCGTCAGCCCAAGAAGCGTCTGCGTGCCCAGTGAGGACCACTGGACTCTGCCCTCCAAGCACAAGCCCCATGCCCGACGTACTGCACAAGTAGCGCAACACCCTCTTCGCTGCAGCCATGTGCTCCGGTCTGTGTCTCCCAGGAGCAACATAGCGTGCGAGAATGCTAAGAGGGTATGCAAGGTCAGGTCGTGTGCAGGTCATCAGGTACATGAGGCAGCCAACAAGCTCTGGGTACGGGCCACTCGACTCTACGGACTCATCCGAAGGCAGAGCTGAGAGCGAGTGGCGAGTAGGCAGAGGAGTAGCCTGAGGCGAGGAGTACGTGAAGCCGAAGCGCTGAAGGACCTGCTGCACCATGTGTGACTGAGTCAGGGTAATGGTGCGGCGTGCTCTGTCCCGGGTGATCTGCAAGCCAAGGTAGCTGCGCAGTTCACCCAGGTCTGTGCACGTGTGTCTCTTCTGCAGCTCGGACTTCACGTGGGCGAGTCCAGCAGTGTCAGCTGTGGCGAAGACCAAGTCGTCGACGTACACGAGGATGTAGAACGGCGGCAAAGAAGTGTCGGTGCGCAGAAACAGCGACGGGTCGGCAGTAGAGGGAGCAAACCCAAGAGCCGCAAGTGTAGTCCTCAGTGTGTCGTGCCACTCACGCGGTGCCTGGCGGAGACCGTAGACTGGCCGCCGGAGGCTCCACTGGGTGCCAGGAGGAAAAGACCCAGTGAAGCCAGGTGGGCGACGCAGCCAGATCTCCTCGTGCAGGCTGCCCTGCAAGAAAGCAGTGCTGAAGTCAAGAGAGTGCAGCTCGTAGTCGCGGTGAGCAGCTATGTGCAGCAGTACCCGAAGAGTGGTCATCTTCGGGGTGGGAGAGAAGGTCTGAAAGTAGTCAACTCCCTGCCGCTGACTGAAGCCACGAGCCACGTAACGCGCCTTGAAGACAGGCGGAGAACCCGGCGGCCGCTTCACCCTGAAAATCCACATGCCACTGACGATGTTCGCCCCAGGCGGGGGAACCTCGTCAACGTAGGTGCCTGTGGACTTCCAGGAAGCCATCTCTGCGTCCATAGCTGCCTGCCACTGAGAGGAGTAGGGACCCTCTATCGCCTCCGCGTAAGAGCGCGGAGTCGGGATGTCAAGTGCATCCGGGTCTCCCTCAGGGGTAAGCAGTACGGACACGAGATGAGGTGAAGCAGCAGCCAAACACTGGAACTCCTCCTGCCTGTCCTCAAGGACGTCCGTGCCAAGGGCACACGCACCCCCGACGGACGGAGGACAGACAGACTCAGACTCAACGACAAGACTAGCAGCGTAGTCTAGACGACAGCGAGCAGCAAAGTCGACGAGCTCAGCAACTAGGGCAGACGCAGCAGTGGACTCAAAGGAAGGGTCAGTGACGACAGTAGCCAGGAGACGCGTGACAGTAGGACTGGCAGCACGAAGAGAGTCCGACTCCGGGTCGGGAAGAGCAGGAAGAGAGGACTCAGGAGGAGAAGGCAAAGGGGCACGCAGAGGAGCAGTGGACGGACGCAGAGACATCCGGTGCGTACCAGGGACAGGAGGAGGACGCTGACGCGAACCACGGCCACTAGTGCGAGCAAGACGGACAGTCGACGCAGGGCGAGACGCAGGCTCACGACGCTCGGCCAGACCTCCAGTAGGACCAGTGTAGGGAGAAGGAGCGGGCAGTGTGGAGGCCGGCTGTAACTGTAACTGGGACGGGACAGGCTGTGGACACTCTAAGGGAGGAGGAGGACCAGTAGAAGGCGGGAGACCAAGAACCTGCTGAAGGAGCGGAACGAAGTACGGCCGAGGCCGCGCGGCGACTCCAGACACAGCAGGGACAGCACCAGTACCCCCAGCGGCAGTACCAGCGCCAGCAGCACCTCCAGCTCCAGTACCTCCAGCAGCACCAGTAGCACCCCCAGCAGGACCGCCTCCAGGACCGGCAGCAGTAGCCTCAGCGCCAACACCCTCAGCAGCTCCAGCTCCAGTCGT